GTATGATGCTTTTTAATATATGTTTATTTTAGATTTTCGTTATCAAATCTCACCATTTCCTGTCCTTCTTACGTAATACTGGAACCATTACACTAGTTAATGTCATCCAACTGCAAATCATTTTATCTTTTTAGATAGCAAATCATATTAATTACTTATATCAAAAGAGTATAACTTCACGAAAAAAGCATTTGCTTTTACTCAGCACGTCCAGCTAGCTGTATTTTTCATGAGTGCAATGTACGCAATTTTAGGCATTCAATTCTGTTAATATTTCTTTTAATTTATAAATATTTCCTCATAAGTCAGTTTGAAACGCCTTTTAATGGAAAGCATTCGTGTCACTATGATATATCATTATATGATGATGTTTTTGTTTCATATACTTTAACCTTCTTCATTTATATTATGCAAGAGCATGTATTGCATTTGAACAATAAAACGAGGCAAATTATTAACAAACAAGTTGATGAAACAAGAATATCAATAGTCTCGTTTAAAGTCATCATTTCGTAAGTTCTATGGTAGATACGATGACCTTGTCAGCAAATACAATTTATCACTGAGTCAAAACTGACTGACGTTTTCCATACTAATTGTAAGTCCATTATTTATACACTGAATTGACGATGGATTTTTCCGTTTTTTCCCATGGAGCACTCGGCGGTTGTGACCGGTCAGCAGGGGATGCTCACTCCTCCATGGCAGCTGAGCCCACCTCCGATGAGTTGGAGGTCCTTGTTTGCTCTGCCCCTATTTTTTTTTTTTATTGTTTTATGGACTTTTGATCTTGAATTCAGTTCATTATCTCAATATATGTCATTCTAATACAGTATCAAATAACAAAATTATCACATAGTTTTTTTCTCATACTTTTTCAATATATGTTGATGCCTTTCCATATCTTTTTTATAACATATGCTGATATTTTAATTACGGGTATAACATTTTATATATGTGCTTTACGCCTTAACTTTATCTTATTATGCTGATAATTTTCATTTTAAGATGATACTTTGTCCTTAAATGCTAGCATCAAAATCTTGATCACACATAATATTATGACACCTTAACATTATACCATGCTAAGTTTGTAATTTAAAGTGTGCTAATTTTTTTTTTTATTCAAAATCATTTTCTTTTTAAAATATTTTAATGGATTATGAAAGATACCACAGAGTCTGTCACATCTGTTTCATATTTGGATATTTTACTTTAAAAATACGCTAATGGTAATATAACAACTAATCTCTATGATGAACGTGATGAATTTGACTTTTTAGCGTCATGTTCCCTTACTTATGCAGCAATATACCTTAATCACGTGCGTACAAAGCGTATATCTCTCATTTGATTCGATACGCAAAAACATGCTCTACATATCTACAATTTCTAAAACGAGGTTAATTATTGACAAACAAGTTGATGAAACAAGAATATCAGCAGGCTCGTTTAAAGTCATCATTTTGTAAGTTCTATGGTCGATACAATGACCTTGTTAGCAAATACAATTTATCATTGAGTCAAATGTTGACTGACGTTTTTCATACTAATTGTAAGTCCATTATTTACACACTGAACTGACGACGGATTTTCCCATTATTTTCCGATCATGACAAGAAGCACACAGCGGATGTGACCGGACGGCAGGGGATGCTCACTCCTCCAAGGCACCTGATCCCACCTCTTTTGAGGTCCGTGTTTGCTCTGCTCCTTTTTGTATTTGTCTTTTGGACTTTTGAGCTTGAGTACTGTTCGTTATCTCCATATATTTAATTCAAAGCAAAACTTTCGCTATAAGCAAGCTTGATGCAAGTACATGTACATGTACATTCAAAACACGTGAAAAACATTCTGTGTTTATTGGAGAAAACGCTTATCAATTTGTTGAAAGAGAAAAATAGCAACAGCTATATTTAGTATACTGAGTACTCTCTAAAAAATTGATCTATTTTTACTGAAATGAGGTGAAGTTAACGAATATTGATCGATCTGCTAAAAACTAGTAACAATTTAATCTGTTAAGAGGACATATACACGTGGATCAGATATTGTAGAGATGGGATCAGGTGCCTAGGAGGAGTAAGCTAGCTCATAGTCGATCAGTCATACTTGCATTGGGCCATCTGTATTGATCGAGGTGACGGAACATGTCATTGTCAAATTTAGTACAAAAATTATCTTTCAATCAGTGTGAAACAAGTCAGCCAAAATACCACTCAGTTACAGCTAAAAATAGTTAATAAGGCCATTATAACAGCTTTAGCTGACTTCTAACGAGGACTGGTTATTATAGTCCTTGTAACATCGCCATCTCCGTTAGTTGCTTGCCTCAGTTATAAAAATAACTAACTGAATGTCAAGTTGTTTGCCATGGCACATGTTTTCTAGTTTTTTCATAAATCCTCTTCATAGGATTATAAAGGTCAGCTAATAAAGGAGTGGAAATAATATTTTCAGAACACAGGCATTCTAAAATTAAATATCTAAACTCTTTTTCAAGATATGATAGAGGTGATGAATCCAACCGTGAACTTCACTGACTTTTGATACTCCTGTCACCTGCATATTGGGTGAATATCTTTTAGTTAATTCGATACGCAAGAGCATGCTCTACGTATGAATTAATGACAAACAAATAAATGAAACAAGAATGCATACAGTCTCGTCCAAAGTAATCATTTTGCAAGCTCTATGGTCGATACAATGTCCTTATCAGCAAATTTATCATAAGCTCTAAACTTGTAGCCCCATTTTTTCAATACAAACAATATATAATGTATTGTCCACACGCACTGAAATGAGCTCCTGCATATTTTATCTCAAAACTTTAGGAAATAACATCAAAGCATCCTCATAACTCGAAGATTTACGAGTAATGCAAACAAACTGACAACGTTTCAGTATATAATGAAGGAATATCAGCATATGAAGAAAAAAGAGCATCAGCGAATAATGGAGACATGAAGTATATAATGTCATGGCATCACTTCATGTAAAAGATGAAACATATGGAGATAACGAACAGTATTCAAGCTCACAAATCCATTACACAATATAAATCATTAGCAGAGCAAACACAGACTTCTAAAACATCAGAGGTGGGATCAGGTGCCATGGAGGAGTGAGCATCGTCTGCCGACCGGTCATATCTGCCGTGTGATCTTTGGCCTGATCAAGAAATGATGGAAAATCCTAAGACAATTCAGTGTGTAAAAATATTGGTTCAGCAATTGGTATGAAAAAATGACTTGACTTTGACTAAATGATATATTCTATTTTCTGACAAGGTCATTGTGTTGACGATAGAACTTGCAAAATGATGACTTTAAGGATATCCGATCCTCAGCCAGGAAGGATAACTCCAAAAATTAATATTTAATTTGAAATGTATCAAAATGAAGCTTGAAAATGAAATTTTTTCATGCAACAATTTTCATTGTATTCATCTTTATAAGATTCAAGGTCTTTGGAAGTCTTCGAAAAGGTCTTGTAAAAGTTGACATTTGTATCCTATAAAAGGAGAAAAAAATTATACAGTTTTAGAGAAATTAGATTTTCTTGAATCCAGCCTTAGATACCAATGCTAATTAGCATGATATGAAATGAGAAGTTATGTGTGGTGTCTTGCAATGATAGCAAAAGCCTTTTATACTATATATTATAGAATACATGACGGAAATAGAAGACAAAAAATACCAAATAAGTATAAAAATCATGATAGTTTCTCTGAATGCCTGGATACCTATCGTTTTTTAACCTAAAATATATTTGTTTATCAATTTGCAATTAGAAAATGCATTGCTGATATTCCAATTCGCTTTTTCTGCAAAAATATTGGAGATTTGACAATTTTCCCTATATGATATGATTAACTTTAATCTTTAACTTTAAAGAGACATTATGGATAAATTTACATAACTTTGTGGATTCAGAGATACTTTTATGAGTATTTTTGATTACTTAATTAACTGCTAATTTTATAAACCTGAGGATCGGACTACTGTAAATCATTTTTTTATTCGCGAGAACTTTATTTTCGCGTAATTACGCGAGTCTGTCTGCTCGCGAAAATTTTATTCTCGCGTATAATTGTATTATTAATGTTTATATACAACAGAAACCACAGCTTGCGAAAATTTTGTCTCGTTAATAAAAACTTAATAGCTTAGTCGCGAAAATAAGGTGTCGCGAAAATATAGTGATCTACAGTACCTTAAACAAGACTGTTGATATTCTTATTTCATCAACCTATTTGTCAATAACTTACAAATAACTTTTAGAAATGGTTCATCGAATCAACTGAGAATAAGCATACAATGAAGAAATATCAACACGTAATGTCAGAGTATTTTCGAGTTAAAAAGTATTAGTATATAAAAACAAAGTATCTAAAATGTACCGCATATCAGAGTTAAAAGTTACAGGAAATATCGGCATAGACAAAAGGTGTCAGCATGTTATAAAGAGATATGAACATGTAAAGAAAAAGTCAGAACAGAAATATATAAAGTCAAGAGGAAAAGAGAAAGTACCAGTCTAGTAAGTCGATAGGAAAAGAAAAAAGTACCAGTATACAAAGTCAAGAAATGAAATTAAACCAATAAATAAAGTCAAGAGGAAAAGAAGTATCAATATGCAAAAATGGACAGCATGTAAGGAGGAAGTTATAGCATGTCAGTAATTAACAAATAGCAGCTTAGAAAACCCATACGTGGAGGAATCAACATCCCCTGTCAGCTCGTCACACCTGCCGTGTGCTTCTTGTTTTAATCTGGAAGTCGGAAACATCTGTGGACAATTCAGTGTGCAAATAATGGTCTAAAAATCTGTCTAAACCTGTAGACAATTCAGTTTGTAAATAGTTCTCTAACTTTTGGCTTGAGATCCATTTTTTTTATCAAGTGTCCTTTTTCATTTAGTTATCTTCTTCTTGATGACATTTAGAGAATGTAATGTGTATCTTATCAAATGAACGTAAAATTTCAAACAATACAGAGTATTTCTTTTTATTTCAGACATTCAATACACGCCTTCACAACATGCCTGAGAAAACTCGGGCGACCCTGGGAGGGTGTCAGAGGTTTGAGTGTCGGGTGATTGGATACCCCCGTCCAACCATACAGTGGTTCAAGGATGGCCGTAACATCACCAGAGATGACCGGTACGAGTTCGACTATTCTGTGGAGGGAATCATCACCATGGTGATTTGTAATGTGACTGAGAAGGACCAGGGCGTGTACTCCTGCAGGGCGGAGAATTCTGAAGGCTGGGCAGCCACCGCCGCCTTCCTCAATGTCAGAAGTAAGAACTGCTTATATTTTAGACACAACAACCTTGCATAAATAAAAATTCTTTGAAGATTAATGCAAAAAGTATAATATATAATACATGTACTAGTATTTATACGAAAGAAAAACTTCATGTTCCATTTTCAAATGACATTTATGAACGTGTATCCCAGCATACGGGGACAGAAAGGGGGGTCGAGGTATGTTTTTTACCCCATTTTCTCAATTTTATGAATATACTTCACCAGAAAGCATGTGCCTACGGAAGAAACCATTATCTAAGATTCCGTACTTCAACAAAGTCTTCAACACAATACCGGGTATCAGTGCAAGAGTGTGCATATATTTTCGTGGGGTCAAATTTTCGGTTTTAGGAAAAATATTGGTTTGTGGGGATTTGAATTCGTGGATGCAAATATTTAGTAGAAATGCATATGGAATTTTACATTTCGTGGTGGTCATAAATTCACAGATCTCTCCATACCTCGAAACAACGAAAATTAACCCCCGCGAAATTTAGTGATTTCACAGTGTACACCCTCTTTTCTTAATAATGTTAAATGCAAATAATTACCATTGAAGTATTATTCATTCAGGTTAATATAAGCGACAGAAAGCATTTAAAAGGACCTAAATGCCAAACCAAAAATTAACTAGCTTAGAAATAAAGAATAGAAATTGAAAAAATTTTTGACATTCATTAACAGAATTGGAGCTAGATTTGCAAAGATAGAAAGCTAGATTTGAATTTACCCTAAATGATGTGCACTGGTCTAAATTAACGTGAAAGAGGGGGTATACATGTTGCAATGAAAATTTTTTAGATAACAAACCGTATATTCAAGATCAAAAATCCATAAAACGATACAAAATAGGAGCAGAGTAAACATGGACCTCCAAAACTTCAGAGGTGGGATCAGGTGCCATGGAGGAGTGAGCAACCCCTGCCGACCGATCACTCCTGCCGTGTTCTCCTTGTTATGATCAGGAAATAACGGAAAAGTTCGTCGTCAATTAAGTGTATACACCCTGTACACAGCATTGATTTTTTTGTCCTTATTCATAGGAACTGTTTTATTTATAGATAATTTATACAGACGTTTATAGAGAAAACACGTATTAAACCGAAACATTTTTATGATAAAGCAAAGCTTTGTTCTGATTTGTGATCATACACAGAGTGTAGCGTCAAGCTTGCTCTGATACTCAAAATGTGTTGAACTGTGTGATAAAGGTAGATTCATGGCTATGTCATGATGTAAATTTTGAATTTACCAGGTGGCAGTAAATACAAAATTTACAACTTGATTTACTGCCACCCTGTAAATTCAAATTTACAGCATGACAGGTATCCATTTACTTCTTAAATAATGTGTTCTTCTGTGAGGGTTTGCTTTCTGTCGGAAAATATCTATAAATTGAGAAATGGGACAAGACATACCTTGACTCACTTTCTATCGCTTCTAAAGCATAAACCAAATGTACATATACTACTCAGTATGTTGTTACATACTGAGTAGTGTATGTATATACCGGCAGTACACCCCGTATGTGTGGATGGCGTTTAGTTCATTTATATGTTTTGATCTTGATTGACAAATGCATTTTATGTCTATTGCAAAGTTATGTTGATCATTTTAAAATTCGCCCTGAATCCCCAAGGAGAGTTAAAATTAGAGTTATAGTATTCACTGCTTCTTTGAGAACAGCACGGTTTACTAGATTTGATTTTAAAATGAAAAAAAAAACTTTTAGAAGTTGATAGCTATATATATATATACAATATTTTTACAGCACAACACAATGCGTGTGGTATCACTTTCTTGATTTAAACAAATACTTACCCGATCTCACTAATATACTCCAATTAAAAACAATCTCCTAATAAGGAAATAATTTTCTATACAGTGTTGGTAAAAAATGGAAGCGTATCTTTAAATCACTTTGAAAGTATAAAAAAAATAATATTTCATTGCAGATTAGAAAAAAATCTTGAACGAAACATGATATTTTAAAATAAAATTAAAATGACATAATTTTTCA